AGCCATGATTCAACCAGAAAACAGGGCACGCACATGCACATCCCTTCTGAGAATTTATCAGGAGGAACTGCCTGGCTGAGCAAGTCAAATCTGTGGGCCTTCCAAGGGAGTCAAATTCCAAACAGTTTCTAAGAGCTTTTGTTTAAATGAGATCAAGCCTATTTAAAGCCCTTCCAGCTAGCAATGTTAGGTTCTGCCTTGATAGTCTAACCCAAAGACAACCAAAGAAGTGCATGTTATAAAGAGCTCCCCTCTCCCTTCAGCCCCCAGGCTTTCTGAGAGGAAAGGTCATTTCTGAAAACACGCCAGAAATCTGTGAGAAATGCAACCCACCATCATAATACCCTACAAAGCCACCACCACACCTAAGTGCCCTCAATTTAAAATCTAAGTAAGTTTGTACTTGATTCAACCCACGTCATATAACGATTTCAAGCCCATGGAAGGGAAGTAGTTGAATGGTTGCTCCCAGACAAGACTTTCTCTTGACTAAGAAGGCAGAAACCATGGTGAGAGTCCACAGTGTGTCATTACTGAAGTGGGAAAAACTGGATCCCCAAAGGAATTCAGGAACAGAAGCGAAACAAAGCAAGCATCTTTTTTCTGATAGCCCACAGGACAGAGTAGCGTGCCCAGCACTCAGAAGTTGTCTGTAAGAGCTGCTGAAATTGAAGACCTGAGGTGGGACCACTGACTACACTGGGCCCTCTGCCCACGCCCTCTCTGCTTGTGGATGACCTGACCAGGACTCATGAGAAATCTAAGATGTCAGTCCTGTGATCCTGGTGTGGACCTTGTATCCACACATCAGTGCTGACTTTTCAATTTTCAGGAGCATTTGCTGTTTTCTAAGACATGTTAGACATCTGGCATCACGCTCTGCTTGTTCACACCTGGTTCCTTCCACAAACCTCTGGTGAAAACAATCTGGGTTCATGGAGAGACTGATGATGGCTCTCAGGTTGGTCCACAGCCTCTTCTTCAGGGAACTTTAACCTATTTCATCCCCCCAGCCAACAGCAACCCCAGGGCGGCTGGCTCACTGAGCCAAAGCATCCAGCTTGTGCCCTGAATCCCCCATGGCACCATCAAAGTGGTGAATCTAGGTCAACAGAAATGGTGCCTTGCTAAAGGCATCATCTTCTCATTGCAATGTTCCAACAGGAAGCAGAGCTGTCATTGTGTTCATCCCAATCTAGCTCCTGTGCTGCTCAAGACAGAAGCGACATCTTGCTGCTGGTGGCCCTGCTGGGTATCTCTGGTGCTTAGGGCAGCAGTGTGAGTTTTAAATGGCACCAGGCAAATGTTTGCAGATGAAAGGTGAATAGAGGACAGAATGATTTTCTGCCACTGTAGGTCAGGAGGGGCTGGCCTTCGCTTCCCTGTAATCAGAATCAATACCTGGGCTAAAGTCAGACACAGCGAAGGGCAGTCCTAATGGACTGGCAACGCACCCTATGTAGGGTTGGAGAGCTCCTGCAGGACTGTCTAAAAGGATTCTTTCTTGTGTTTCACCTATTGCCTCTCCTGCCAGGAGCTCTGTGGGAATAGAGACAGGCCTTCTCACCTGGCACTCAGCAGGCACACACAATCAGGTGACAAATAGGAAGAGAGGTTCTTTGTGTCATTTGGTAAGCATATTTAATTCGACACTAGCTTCCTAGGAGAGAGATGAACTATGCCACATGCTCTTTTCCTGAAGGACTAGTTCTGACTATGAACCAGGATGCACACAGGCTGTGCTTGCTGGGCATTCCTGCACTCTGGGCTGTGTTCTACATTCCTGAGTACCTTTAAAAAACCAAGGGACTGGAACGGTCTCAGAGCACAGGCTCACTTCTCAGGACCCATGTGGTGTCTCACAACTCGCTTTAACTCCAGGTCCAAGGAGTAAGTTAGATGTCTTCTTCCGGCCTCTGAGTGTTTTACCCACACATGTGTGTGGTGAACATACACACATTAAGGTAAAAACACTAATTTACATATATAAATCTAAAAAACCCTCGAAGCGTATCTATGAGGTAGGCACAATTATAGTGTTCACTTTATAGCAAGGAGACACGGGCATGGTGAGCAACCATGGAACTACTGGGCAATCTAGTGGGTTACTTGCCCGACCCTTGTGTCTAGACTAACAGAGACATTAACAGGTACTCACATGCTAGCTACAAAACCTGGCCAGAGACTGCAAGCCAGGAGGAGCCCAGAGCAGAGAAAGCTCTTCCTTAATTAAATTCTGCACCCTAATATTCAGCTTCCTGTTTGAACTACTCAGCAACCTTTCTGAATGTTCCTCCTCCTCAAAACCCTTCTCATCATACACCTGTCAAGAAACCCAGCAATCCTACTTCGGAGCTTTTACCCAAATAAAACAGGAGTCCTCACAAAAGCTGATACCAACTCTTATGCTGACAATGTAACAGCCTATCTCCTGGTGAAAGGATGTACAAGTCCCTTCTCCTCCCCCAGAAGGCAGCAGTGAAGCAGGGATAGGCAACAGCACCAGCAGGGATGGGTCTCAAGGCTGAAACGAGCAGACACGAAGGCGCCCTCATATGACAGAAGGTCAACCACAGACAGCTTAGAGGTTTCCAGGGGCCAGGAGTGAAGAAGGAAGTTCATGACAAGGGGACACAGGGAACTTTTAGGGGAAAGGAGCTGGAAGCCTGACTGTGGATGTTACACAGCTGGGCACTGGCTTCCATGTCCCACACTTAAAAGGGTGAACGAACCATCATATGTAAGTTATATGTCAGCAAATGTCCCCCTCCTCCAAACCTCCTTTGCTCATTCTAGAGAAGGAACCCATAGCTTCCCAATTATTAGACATATCCCCAGCCCAGCAAACACTTTAAAGCAACGCTTCTCTTTTACCCGGATGGAATCTTTCCATTCATTTACTTATTTAGTCAGTTCATTTTCAGATATAGTTTCACTATGTGACTGAGGCTTGCCTCAGACTCACTAGGTAGGTCTGGAATTCTCCATCTTCCTGTCTACATCTCCCCCATGCTGGGATCATCAGTGTGTGCCATCATAGCTGTCTTTCTTTCCTTTTTAAATTCAAGTTAAGAGATCCGCACTTGAGATATCCTCTTCCAGGCACACACGCGATGCCCACACATGCATACAGGCTAAACACCCATACACAAAAATAAATTTTTCTTATGTGCACAATTTGAACTGCCAAGCCAAGTGGAAGCTGCCTCCTTGGTACAGCTGCTGAAGTCTGAGGGCAAGCATGTGGGAAAGCCTCAAGCCCGGCTTTTGTACTAATCAGATCCCAGAAGGTTGCCTACCCTTTGTCTATCTTCTGGTGGAATTCCCAGCGTTCGTGGAAAACCTGTCTACTCTTAGTGAGTCTTACAGGGGACAAACTGTTTAT